TGTGGGACAAATTGTCTTCACCAAATTACAGAAAAAAATATCAGGAGGCAGAAGGTTATGATATGAACCACCTTTCAGAACCACCACATCAGATCCTTCCCACGTTTATTATATAAATATATATATCTAGAAGTCTTACGCGTCACAAAAGCTAATGATTAGTACCGGAAAAGATGAAGTTTTGCCATTGGATCTTTTTTTTTTTTTTTCGGACTTGTATAGTTGTATTCATTTCAAAAGCCTGATCAAAAGGAGATAAACTGTTGTAAAGATTGCTGTACTTCATTTGTCAGTGAGCACTAGTTTATAATCCATGTAGAGTGACTACTAAGCCGAGATGGGCATTTCGAAGTTCTTGTAATAAAAGAGGAAACACTCTGGTGTTTCCTAGCATTGAAGTTTCATGGCAATTTTTCCTGTTCTACACTAATGCAGAAGCTCTTTAGCCATGAAAATTTTCCTGGAGCAAGCTTGATTACCACATTATTCACACATAAGAAAATGGACTACACTTCATGTCATGTGCATCGTCTTACAAGCAATATGGGACTCACAGATTTTGCGAATTATGGCCATCTGGACCGATTATTCTTGACACAAGCAAGAGCTTCTTGTTCTCTCTGTCGGATCAAAAGCAAAGGGTCTGAATGAAGTTTCCTCCACGCATCATTAGCCGACTGCGACTTCTCAGAAAGTGCACTCGGGGCTGCTGATCGCTACAATAACAAATTCGCCTGGGCATTAACAGTATAAATTACAAACGCAACACTTCAACTTTCAACAGAATAATATCACATGACGTACAGAACAGGGCAAAGGACCCAATCTTCAATCAAAAGTACCTTTGCAGAAGCAGGCGATGATGCAGTGGCATCCGGTTCGGTTTTACGTAAACATTCAAGCACATTGAAAGTAGAATTGCCTTTCCAGTTTTGATCCAGGCTCAAGAGGTGGCTCTCGCTCTTTCACGTGCCACTTTGCCCTTCATAGCACCTAGCTCCGGATTTCCGGCCGGCGAACGGCTCTGATCCCATATGTAACACCTCGAGATCGCCCTCCAAATTTGATAGTAGTCTGTCACTAAAAAACCAACTTCCAACTGGCTCTGAGCACACTCAGACGCATAAATTTTTCTCATGAGGTCAACTGTCTCATAACTACCTCAAAAGAATGCTTAATTCGAGTGTCTGTCCGGCTAGTTCCGGGTTTGTATTTTTTTTATAATATTATCTATCGTTTTAAAAAATAAAAAATTATTAATTTGGAGTTTTTACGAACACCTGTTGAAAAATTGAAACAAAAAATATCCGATTACTCAAATTTTAATTAGTATTATAATCTAATTAAATATTATAATTAATTAGTTATTCACTAGTGATTAAAAAATATTATACAAATATTAAGTTAAATGATTAAATACCTCAATCTTCTCTAGTCGACCGTGTCGTCGACTGTAGTCTGCTATCGGATTTCAAAATATTATGTCTTTAATTCTTAGACATAATATCTTTGTGGTATTTGTTCATCACTAGAAATAATCTCCAGTAATATAAAGAATTTGTTAGAAAATAAAGAAACAGTAAATTAAACTTAAAAACATGCACAATTTTTTATTATTTGTGCTTTTTTTTGTAACAAAATTCGCAATTATTTACACAAAATATATGGCCGACATTATGTTATTTTTTAGCCTTTTTTTTTTTGGGGTACAGGGACTTTCACGTTTTCGGATCTACATGGAAACCAACTAATCCGGAATCGAGCAATATTATATTATTCTTTGAATTGTTTTTTTTTTAACAAATTTCACCATTATTTACTCAACGTATATGGCCGAAAAAAATGGTATTTGGTATGTTATCTTTGAGCATTTTTTGTTTTTTAACTACTTGCACAATATGATCGATTCCAAAAAATTGGCAAGCGGTATGTTATCTTTGAGCCTTTTT